TTAGGGTTTTGAACGTCAAACGTTGACTTTTTGATCGCAACGCGTTGACTGGCATTGACCTAAGGTTACGCGTTGACCGGCGTTGACCTTAGGGTTTTGAACGTCGAGCGTTAACTTTTTTATCGCAACGCGTTGACTGGTGTTGACCTAGGGTTACGCGTTGACCGGCGGTGACCTTAGGGTTTCGAACGGCGTGCGTTGACTTTTTGGTCGCAACGTGTTGACTGGCGTTGACCTAGGGTTACACATTGACCGGTGTTAACCCTAAGGTTTCGGTTGTCACACGTTGACTTTTTGATCGCAACGTGTTGACTGGCGTTGACCTAGGGTTACGCGTTGACCGGCGTTGACCCTAGGGTTTCATTCGTCACACGTTGACTTTTTTATCACAACACGTTGACCGACGTTGACCTAGGGTTACGTGTTGACCGGTGTTGACCCTAGGGTTTTGGTCGTCACACGTTGACTTTTTGGTCGCAACGCGTTGACTGGCGTTGACCTAGGGTTACGCATTGACCGTCGTTGACCCTAGGGTTTCGAACATCGTACGTTGACTTTTTGGTCGCAACGCGTTGACCGGCGTTGACCTAGGGTTACGCGTTGACCGGGGTTGACCCTAGGGTTTCGACTCGTCCGGTGTTGATTAGTATTGGTTTCGTCGAAACATCCAACAACCGACGGGAATGGGCGAAATCGGACTTGAAAAGGGTATCCGGGGGTCGAATTGGGCTGAGACACCCGAGGGTGTCTCAACCTTGGCCGAGACACCCTTGGGTGTCTCGGCCAAGACCGAGACACCCTAGGGTGTCTCGGTTCAAAAACCGAGACCCCCCCTCTCTTTCTCTCTTTTTTTTGTTTGTTTCCTCTTTTGTTTTCCCCCTTTTTCCAAAATTTCAAAAAGAGTCCTATTCCCTCTCAAACTCTCTCTTCTTCTACTTCTTATCCATCCACCATTATTTTCTTCTTTTGAGAACTCTAAACCCATTAAAACTCCCTTCTTTTAAAATCCCTTAAATCCAAGACAAAATTCAGATTTTTGGTGTTCCCTCCTTGGCCGAAATTCTTTTCTCCTCAAAGCTAGGGTTTTTCTTCATCCTCAAGCTCAAGGGAGGCCTCTTGATTTGGGTAAATTTCCCTTTAAAACTTTCCTCTTTTTCAAGAAAGATTGAAGCTTTATGTTTGTAACGGGAGTATATCATGAATTTACATGCCAAAATCATACATTTTTGTTCTTATGGGTTGGATTTTATGAAAAGATAGGGTCTTTGATGATGGGTTGTGTATATACAAAGATTTGGGGGGTTTTATGTAAAATCAACACTATGGCCGAATTTGAGGGGCTTTTGTGCAAAAGTGGACTGAAATTTAAGGATTTTTATGCAAAGTGGGCTGAAATTTGGGACTGGGATTTCATGTATATTTGGCCCAAAATTTGAAAGGTGTTTTTTATGCAAAAGAAACGACATTGTTTGAAGGGTTTATTTGCAAAAACAACCCAAAAAATGTAGAGGGGTTTATTTGCAAAAGGGCTAAAATTTTAGGGCTGAAATTCCAAAAATTTAGACCACAAACCCATGACTAAAGTTTTGAGAAGGGTATGTGGGAATTAGACCAAAATTTGTGGAGGGGTCTATTTGCAAAATTGGCTAAATTTTACAGAAGGGTTTATTTATAAAATTAGCCAAAATTGTGGGACGTTGGGGGTGTTATATGGACAAATATGATGATCATGATCCAATTCAAATGTATCCTTGACTAGAATTTAGCCTTGAATACGAGGGGTATTTTGGGTATTTCACCAAAATTTTCATCAAGAGGGTTTATACTGCAGTTTGAGCTCTGTCACGAAATTTGTAGGTTTAATTAGACTTCAACTATAAAATCCTACTTTAGTTGAAGTTCTTAATTTTCCTTTCAAATTTCGGACGTTCAGATTTATGATTGTACATGACCTGCTGATTTTCATTGCAGATTCTCCATGTCTCCGCGTCGACATCGACTTCATAGGAGTCGTTCCCTTTCGCAGCATAGCGAGGGAGAGGTTCCCACGGCATCCTCTGCAGCGGCATCCTTTTTCGGGGGTGAGCATTTATACTTTCTATATCCCTGATTGATCCCTTCGCGGGTCATTCAGGAAGAACCGACATCCTCCTTCGCGGGGATCGAGGTTTCAGGATATTCTTGGTTCCAGTATACCCTCGTTTGGCCCCTTCGCGGGTCATTCAGGAAGGACCGACACCCTCCTTCGCGGGGGTCGAGGTTTCGGGAAATTCGCGGTTCTGTTACACCCTCGTCACCCTCCTTCGCGGGGGTCGAGGTTTCGGGAAATTCGCGGTTCTGTTACACCCTCGTTTGGCCCCTTCACAGGTCATTCGGGAAGGGCCGACACCCTCCTTCGTGGGGGTCGAGGTTTCGGACTTGTTTTGCTTGGCCAATTCAAGTCTTCCGATATATTGGGGCGATTTTGTGCCATCTTACACCTTGTAGGTCGGTGTATGTTACCACGTTTTTTACGTGATGATGCATACCGTTCTTCCAGTGTAGGACACTCAAAATCGTCTCTCCAATTACCTCGTGGATGATCTTATCTCGCTTTTTTTTTATGAGATGGATTTAATTCTCAGATAATTTTCTGACTCTATCCTTGTTTTGTTGCAGTCGAGTTCCCTACGGGCAGTCTCTCTCCTCATGCTACTACCGGTTGTAGTGGGGAGGTTTTCTCTTCGGTTTCCATCAGGCAGGCTATTGGTCCGCTTCCTCAGTTTGATAGAGATCGTTCCGATGAATCCTGTCGTTTGATACGAGATGGGGGACGTCATTGCTTACGCCAGCTGATCACGGATGCTCCTTTTACTGCGGATTCTATTCTACTCAGGCTTTAAAGAAGCCCAGCTTTCTGTTCGGAGATCACATTGAGGATCCGGCTAGTTTGATTCTTACTGATGAGCATTGGCTGAATAATGATGAAGGAGCTCTCCTGTATATTCCTTCCATTCCTCGTCAGCATTCTTTCACTCATTTAAAGGGACAGGCCGTAGAGCGACAGATGTCCTGGCATCTTACCGATGATGCTGATCGAGTTCATTATGGATATACCTCCCACCATAAGACTCCCGGTTCTAATGGGTATCATTATATTCGCGGTCTTCGACCAGGGATTATGGGTCTTAATCCCGCACCCCCAGGCGAGGTATCAGTAGCCGCTCCTACTGTGAAGAATCGTCTGGCTCAGCTTGGGAGGAGGTTACCTCCACCAGATTTTAGATGTTATGGTTGGGCTTTCTCACAACCCAAGGGATGGTGGACACGTTTGACCAGTTACGTCTTGGGACGTTAGGAGAATGACCTGAAGAGCAGTGGGTTGTACGCACCTATACGAGCCACTATGTATAGATTCCCGGTTAGCTGTCGCCACTTCTTGGCATTGTTAGAGACATATATCCCCGATAGTAACACATTTCTGACTAGCGGTGGAGAGTTAGGGCTGGCGTTGCATGAGATGCACCAAGTTTCTGGCCTTCCAATAGGGGATTTTCCGTACCAGGAGTACTTTCCCTCGAACCAACAATTGGAGTGGCTGAAGAAGGATACTCCTGATATGTACGATACTCTTTGGGACCTCACCTGCCATTATCATACCTCTCTGATTAAGGTTACCACTCAAGCGAAGAGGAAAAAGCAGATCAGCTTGAAGCAGTTTGCTGTTTATTTGTTCCAGCATTTGGAGGGTAATTCCAGCGAGCCCATTCGTGAATTAGATGTTTTGACACCTACCGCTATTAATGAGTTGATGGAGAAGGCTGAGGCTTGTTCTTACACTATTGCCAGTGCTGAGGGAGCTTTTCCTGCAGGGACCAAGTTTCGGACATTCCTTTGTCATGCACAGAAGTCCATTGAGCCCAGGACCCTGCTAGCAGGCTATCTTCATTCCTTTGTCATGCACAGAAGTCCATTGAGCCCAGGACCCTGCTAGCAGGCTATCTTGCCCTTTGGTTAAAGAAGTGTGTCGTTCCATATCAGTTTTCGGACACTTTACCCCTTGAGGTGCTCTTCCCCGTCGTCCAGCTAGCGTATGGGAGGGAGCTTTCATTGCTTCCAACCATGGTTGCTGGCATCCATTGCGGGCTTAGATACTTGGTCGATGGTTTTACGCAGGTGGGCCCTCAACCATCGATCGAGCTTGTTTCTGTCAAGGTCGAGCTTCCGTACATATATCTGATGGCGTGGCTTGTTCTTCATCGTCCTGACTTGATGTCGGTGCCTAGCACTGTTGATGTCCCTATTCCTTTCGTGCAGCTGTTGGAAAGGAGTAGATGGCTCGAGATAACATTCAGTGATGTACAACGAGAGCTTCAAGTTCGTAAGAGCTGGAAGTTCTTCAAGTGTTTTCCTCGCTTTTCAGGTCGCTATGGTGATGTGCTGATTGATGAGGAGAAACCCAGAACTAGCCGGACTTCTCTCGACATTGGTTGTTTCCGTTGGTTGGTGAACATTCGTGTTGGGTATCTCGTTCTTCAGGTGAAGAATCATTGTCACATAGAGCCTTACCTTCCCTACCGTTTCGCTCGTTAGTTTGGCTACGACCAACTATATGTTAGGAATCCGAGCCGTGGTTTGAGGATTGAGGGAGGGCTTATTGACGGCGTTCGGGCATGGCTATGGACTATGGTGGGCTGTACTGGAGCCCATTTTGCTCTTCCTTCATCTAGGCGCAAGTCGTTGACTACTTTCCTCAGCTGCAAGTGGTTCCTTTCTACCAATGAGTTTATAGGTGTGAGGAGCCTTTCAGAGTTGCAGGCTGAGCACTTGGTTCAAGTCACTATGATGGCTGCTCGTAAGGCTGAGCTTGCTAAGAAACAGGGGAAGAAGCCTGCCAAACCTTCCCTCTCGAGCAGAGATAGGATGGAGGACGATGAAGAGCTCCTTCCTACTGATGATGAGGATGAGACTTCTGAGGAGGAGTATGTGGATACAGATACTGACAAGGAAGAACCTAACGTAGGTTTGTCAGACTCTTTCTTTTCAGAATTAACTGACCTGGCCTTCTCTCGTTGGCATCAACGTCATATCCTTTCTCAAAAACCAGAACGAAAGGTCTTATTCACTTATCCTAACAAGATGACTCTTATCACCCCAGGTAGGACAGTCGATGAGCATGAGTCGCTCGCTTCTCGCTATGCGAGATCCCGGCCTAGCGGCAAAGCTCCTGCACAGGTCGAGATGCGTAGCAAGTTCATGCATGAACGGCCCGTTGGTTCTGTGAGGGTTGGTATTCCGAAACGGAAGAAGACCGCTCATAAACCACATGTTGGTCGGCGCCCCTATGGAGTGGAGTTAGGAGGCATCGCCGGTGGAGAGGAAGGTAATACCTTATTGTCTTTATTGCTTTAAGATGACTTGCCTTCTGGGATTCATTAAGCGTAATCATGTTTTATGTTCCAGGAAACTATGAAGAGGGCGAACTTCCACAGGATTCTGTATTCCCTGATTCTGATCGTCTGGATAGCTTCATGCAGCAGATGTGTGATGCCATTCACGATGAGCCCATGGATGTTGACACGAACATTGATACTGAGCAGGTTAATAGTGTTGAGCCCACAATTATGTGCTCAGGTATATCTAAATCCGATGGTACCCTACTCGAGTAGCATTTGGAAGAGTTAGGGAATTCAGGATTCATTATTTTTGTGCTTTACTTTCTTTTAGATAACTTGAAGAATCCAAGCATGGATATTGGGGAAAAAGAATCTTCTGTTCCTACTGCAGGTACCTCTGAGCTTGTCCTTCTTTCCCCATTTTCTTGTATATATCCAACACTTAAATTATTCTGCAGATATCGTATTAGAGAAGCCATAGGATGAGGCCTTTCATGATACAGGTCTTGAGGAACAGGGGTATGTCTCAGCACCAAGTTTCTCAGGATCTATTTGTCTAAATTTCCATTTGGCTAATAAAGAAGTGTAACTATAGGACCAGCCATTATGACTGATGCAACTACAGTTTCTGGGATCGATAGCTTGCATAGCAGCGGTGTCTCCCCGCCACAGCCGGGAGGTACTACCGATTTGCCTACAGGGGTTGATATACCCTCAATGACCACCCCTGCTATTATCTCGGAGCCTGTTGAGACTAGACTGATAGAACCAGCCGTAGGACTCCAACCTTTGGGGACCTCTACTGGTACTGGTAGCTTGCAATTTGCTTTTAAATTCTCTTATCATGTTCGATAATCTCTTACCTTCCCATACTATTCCTTGTAGGATCTCTATCATTTCTATATGAGCGTGTCCGCGCCCTTTTGGCCGATACTGATCCCAACAAAGACATTTTTCACACGGATCTCGGCCTTTTCACCGTCTTTTTTAACGGCATGATCGAGAAACTTCTTCATTGAGGATATTGTTTCGATCAGTTCAGGCGTTCCCTTTCTCGCTACATGACGATGATCAGAGAAGAAGGGTATCCAGAGTTGGCTGATTCCTTCACCGCCGATTTTACTGTTCTGGAGTCTGAGATCCGAGAGTTGGAGGAATTGAAGGCTAATGGAGCTTCTTCCTTCGTGTCCTCTCAGATGGAGCATAGGCTGGCATAGTGGCGCGACCTGAGATCTTCCATCGGCAGCGAGCTTCAGTCACATGAGAATTATGTTGCGCAGCTGATGGCTACTATGGCGAGGAAGGATATGGATAGAGCCGAGTTACTCAGCTCTTTGGATTCCAACTGCGAGGAAGTGGATAGGTTGAAGAAGGCCTTGAACCACGCCGAGGAGTCCGGTGCTATCATTGCAGAAGAATTGGCTGGATTAGAGAGTTCTCGTGGACAGGCACTCGAGAGGCTAGGATCTACACAGGAGAGATTGATGAAGTTGAAGAATGAAGCCGTGAAGATCTTGAACAGTTCTGAAGAATCTGTTCGAGCTGGTAGGCAGAACTTGAGCAGAGTTATGCAGATAGGCTTTCTAATTTAGAATCTCATGTTCTTAACCGCCAACTGCCTTCGGGCTAATGAGCTTTTTATTGTATGCTTTGACTTGATCTATTAGTAGAGACTCAGTATTTGATTCCTTTATGATATTTCTTTGTTGATTATGAACCCAGCGGTCATAAGACTTACAGGATTTTTGGTAAACCCTCAGCCATCAACGGGTTTGATATGCTTTTACCGATTACCATTTGAATCGGGCTAGCATGTGAATTATTAAAACTCATCTCACATGTAACGTTGTGCTAAGAGAATCGTTTCTCTTAGACTTAATGCTATGATTTTGAATACATAGACTTAACCATTTCTTATAGGGAAAAAGTACCCAGCATCGTGTTTTAGACAACGACTTATCCCTTCTTAGGCTTCGGGATAAAATTCCCCAGGTTTAGACCCTGGTGTCTTTTTCCATCGGTGAAAGACTAAAACGGCAATGCGTGTTAGACATAGACTTTGGGATTTTTGGCAAACCCCTAGCCTTCAACGGGTTTGACATGCCTTTACTGATTACCGTTTGAATCGGGCTAGCATGCAGATTGTTTTAGTCCGTTCTGCATGTAACGTTGTGCTAAGAGAATTACTTCTCTTAGACTTAATGCTATAATTTTGAATACATAGACTTCGCCATTTCTTACGGGAACGTGGCATCCGACAACGCGTATTAGGCGTTGACTCATCCCTACTTAGGATTCGGGATAAAAGTCCCTAGAATTAAACTCTGGTATCTTTTTCAATCGGTGAAAGACTAAACCGGTAACGCGTGTTAGGCGTAGACTTATCTTTATTTAGGAGTTGAGATAAAATTCCCCGTGCACAAAGTGCACGGATTGGAAGTTGGGAATTGTGTCTTTTTCAGGGTAAAGACGGACTGGAAAATGGAAGAGGAAGAATTTTATATTCTATCTCCCAGTACTGAAGAGGAAGAATTTTATATTCTATCTACAGTTTAGAAAGGAAACTCAAGGCGGGATCTCCGCCCGCAGAATTCGAAGAGATGAAACTAAGAGTGGGATCTCCACTCCGAAAATCGGAAAGATTCAAACGACCCTAACTTTTATAGGATTGGCCATTTGATCCAAAAAGAATCCCTCATTTATTGAGGAGAAAGCCCAATTCCGACCCTAACTTTTATAGGTTTAGTGGAAAAAAGAATAAAAGCAGACTTTCGTTTATCGAAAAGGAATGACTCGGTCTTAGTCCTAACTATTTGTAGGCTTGACTAAGTGAGATTGGGAACAATCCTAACTTTTATAGGTTTGATTGTTCGAATTGAAAGTGGACCTCTCGTTCATGGAAGGAATCGAGAGAGAAATTTGGCTTTGGCCCTAACTTTTTATAGGTTTGACCTGAAAGCAAAGAGAGTGGAATACAGGTAACAATGAAAATGCCAACTCGTACTATCACTCAAAGGAAGACTTTAATGCTAAGTGATTAGGACCTAACATGTTGAGTCTGAGAATTACCAATGACTGGCGGATAGAAATTTTGGTGAATCCACCGTCGATTAATTTGATCAGCGGATGGTTTGGTGAGGAAAGATTAACCTGTCAAAGGATTAGATCTCATCTCACAAAAATAACTCATGAGAGTTAGAGAATTTGACAATAATAAGACGAAACATTCCGACATTCAGAGTTCGAACATGGATTTCTTATTCAACACTTCTACAGTGACTGGGTTATCCCTAAGAATACCACATATGGTATTCTTCTGGGAACTTCCCGATACATTAGTTATCCTGAAGATACTAATGATAGTATTTTTTCAGGAACTTGCCGTTTATCGGCATCATAAGCCGGTCGCCGTCCTTGGTGACTAGGCGATATGCGCCACTCGAGTAGACTGTCTTTACTACGAATGGTCCCTCCCATTTGGGTTCAAATTTGTCTTTCTTCTTGGAGTTAAGGATCATAGGCCGCCTCTCAGCTAAAACCAGATCCCCTTCTTTGAAACTCTGTTGTCGAACATTTTTGTCGAAAGCTCGAGAGATTCTGGCTTGGTAGAATTTGATATGCTGTTGAGCTTCTAAACGCTTCTCATCTAACCTTTCAAGTTCTTCAAGGCATTTCTGATGTTGCTCTTCAGTCGTCATTTGAGTCGCGAGGGCGATTCGAAGTGATGGGATTTGAATCTCCAATGGAAGAACAGCTTCACATCCGTATACCAGTGAATATAGGGTCGCTCCCGTCGGTGTGCGTACTGTGGTACGATAGGCCCATAGAGCCGCGCCAAGCTTGTCATCCCAGTCTCGTTTATTAGTTTTCACGAGTTTTGACAAAAGCTTTATGATAGTCTTATTGAAGGCTTCGGCCAATCCATTCGCTGTGGGATTGTAAGCTGTCAACGAGATGTCCTGAATTTTGAACTTTTCGCAAAACCTGATGAATGCATTGCTAACGAATTAAGGACCGTTGTCATGTATGATTCGTCTTGGGACACCATGCCGGTAAATGATATGGTGCTTGATGAATGCAATGACGTTGCTCGTTTTAACTTCTCTGAGCGGAACCGCTTCAGCCCATTTAGAGAAGTAATCGGTAATTGCTAGGATGAACCGGTCACTTTTGACTGACGGGGGATTTATAGGACCAATAATATCTATTCCCCAGGTCTCAAACGGCCACGACGTAACCGAAGGATGCAGATGCTCCGGAGGTTGATGCATATAATCTGCATGTACTTGACACGCATGACACTTTAGGGTATACGCGACTGCATCACTCATCATGAAAGGCCAAAAATATCCTATTCTTCTGATGCGGTCATAAAGTTTAGGGTCGGGTTGGTGCGCGCCACACTCACCTTCGTGTGCCTCTTTAAGGACTTCTTCAGCTTCTTTAGTCAATAAGCAACGAGCTAGCAATCCATCGTACCCCCTGCGATATAGCGTTCGATTCTCCGTATTATAGTAGAATCTCGATGCTCTTCGTCGGATTGAATCTCTTTCCTTCACGTCTTCTGGTAAGATTCCATGTAAGACGTAATCGATGATGGGGAAACGCTAATCTCGGGGTTCAAACTCAACTTGAGTTAAGTGTGTTTCCTTAATATCTTCTTCTTTGCCATCTTCATCATAGATCGGCACTAGGAGTTGGTGAGTCCTTACTGTAACAAACTGTTCTGTTTTAGGAGGCTGCGCCAGGGATACGGCTAATGCCGCTAACGCGTCTACATAGGTATTTTGCAACCGTGAAATATGTTCGATAAAGAATCCTTCGAATGATTCTGCCATCTCCACTGCCATCTTATGGTATGGTATTAAATCCTGACTTCGGACCTCATACTCTCCCTGAACTTGTTTAACTATCAGTTGAGAATCACCGAAGGCTTCGAGATACTCAACCCCCAGTTCTTTGGCGAAACTGAGTCCTATGAGTAGTGTATTATATTCGGCTATGTTATTTGAGCACGGTTCGGTCAATGAGTAAGCTCGAGGCATCATGTGTTTTCCTGGGGACACTAAGACAACTCCAACTCCGGAAGAAATCTTAGAACCTCCAGGAACACTCGCTACATTAGCTGCTCGTGAAGCGCCGTCGAAGTACAAACGCCATATTTGCTGGTGCGTAAAGGATCGCTGCAATGGCACTCAAACACTAGAAGGGGGTTGAATAGTGTTTATGAAATCTAATGCGGAAACTTTAAATTTCAATAAAATAATATCACAAAGAGTAAGAAAGATCAAACCAATGTGTAGACAATCACAGAAAATTGCATACGCAAACACAAGGATTTATACTGGTTCGGTCCTCCAGACCTACATCCAGTCCCCAAGCCTTGCTTGAGATTTCTCCACTATTTTCACTTGCAAAACCGCAAGCACTTGCAACCCGCAAACAGTACAACTTCAATTTGACAATCTTCAATTGCCAATGCCACAACAATCTCTTCTTTCAAGAGATTATCAAACT